ACCTCACCGGGCCGACTTCTTTCTTTTCACATCTTCGTTCAAAGATGCTCCCTGGAGAGCCTATAGAGCCAAGAGCTTACCTTAGGCACCAAATATCGACATGTGCCTGGTACCATGATGAATACTTGACACAAACTGATTCTTTTCCCCCCACCCCACAACAAGATTGGTCTTGCCCAGGCTGGAAGGCAGTTCATGACTCACTGTAGCCTCGACTCCCTGGGCTCAAGCAATCCTCCTCCCTTGGCCTCCCAGAGCTCACAGGCATAAGCCACTGCGCCCGGACAAATGAACACATTATTCCAGCGATACTGTGCCACCAGGACTCCCAATTTGCAAATGAGGAAACTGAGGCACAGAGAGATTAAATCACTTGCTCAAAGGCCGAGGTGGGTGGATCGCTTGAGGTCAGGTGTTTGAGAGCAGCCTGGCCTACACAGTAAAACCCCATCTCTACTAAAAATACAAAAATTAGCCAGGTGTGGTGGTAGGCACCTGTAATTCCAGCTATCTGGGAGGCTGAGGCAGGAAAATCTCTTGACCAGGAAGGTGAAGGTTGCAGTGAGCTGAGATTGTATCACTGCACTCCAGCCTGGGTGACAGAGCGAGACTCCATCTCAAAAAAACAAATTGCTTGCTCAAAGATACAGAGCTAAGGAGCAGGGAAAACAGAATTGGAATCACCCCCATGCCTATCCTGTCTGCTTCCCACACATTCTCTGCAATGATAATTCATCCTTCATCTATTGCACTCTCTTTCTTATTTATTGCAGTGGCTTTTTTTTTTTTTTATTATTTATAGAGACAGGGTCTCACTGTCACCCAGGCTGGAGTGCAATGGCGCCATTGTGGCTCACTGCAGTCTTGAACGGCTGGGCTCAAGCCATCCTCCCACCTTCAGCCTCCCAAGTAGCTGGGACCACAGGAATGTGTCACCATGTTGGCACTGATACTGCGGATACTGCAGTGGTTTCTGTGCCTGTGTTGTACACTGGTTTGTCCTCAGTGCACAGAAGAATCTGGAACATAGTAGGCACTCGGTAACAGTGAATGAGAAGATAGAGAAATGAATTAAGGGCTGGGTGCGGTGGCTCACACCTATAATCCCAGCACTTTTGGAGGCCGAGGCAGGCAGATCATCTGAGGTCGGGAGTTCGAGACCAGCCTGGCCAAGAACAAGGTGAAACCCCGTCTCTACTAAAAATACAAAAATTAGCTGGGCGTGGTGGTGCGCACCTGTAGTCCCAGCTACTCGGGAGGCTGAGGCAGGAGAATTGCTTGAATTGAACCCAGAGGGTGGAGGTTGCAGTAAACCGAGATTGTGTCACTGCACTCCAGCCCGGACGACAGAGTGAGACTCAGTGAAGATATAGAAATGAATTAAGACATTCCAGCTTGGCACAAGCAAGGCAGAAATTGGGGCTGGCTGCAGCAAGAGGGAATAAAATGAGACTCCAGGAAGAACTTTCAGGACAGCAGCTCGAATGCAAAGAAGGTGGATATCGCTATGTCTGTTTGTCCCTTTGCCCTGCAGGCAGAAGGCCTCTGGCTGCTCTGGGAGACACGTCTGGAATGGTGGTTGCCTTTCAGAGATTTGGAGGCTGGGCCAGGCGGGGCCTCTGGGTGGGGGCCAGAACCGCAGGGCCGGGTGTTTGGGATAGACATAGAACAGGCGGGTGGTGTCCAGAGCTGGCCAGGAACAACCCGGGCCAGCGAGAAAACACAGCTGGGTCCCTGCCCTGCAGCCTGTGCCCTCCGGTCTGCCGCTAGGGGCTCTGGCCACCTGGCATCTCAGGCTGGGATGAGAACTTGGGCCCTACCTTTGAGACCTGCTGCAGGTTCAAGCTGTCCTGGGTTTATTTATTTATAATCATCATTATTATTATCATTATTTGAGATAGAGTCTCACTCTATCACCCAGGCTGGAGTGCAGTGGCGCAATCTTGGCTTATTACAATCCCCGCCTCCTGCGTTCAAGCAATTCTCCTGCCTCAGCCTCCCAAGTAGCTGGGATTACAGACATGTGCCACCACACCCAGCTAATTTTTATATTTTTAGTAGCGACAGGGTTTCGCCACATTGGTCATGCTGGTCTCGATCTCCTGATCTCAGGTGATCCACCCACCTTGGCCTCCCAAAGTGCTACGATTACAGGCTTGATGTCCTGGGTTTAGATCCTGCCTCAGTTCAGCCACTTCCTGGCTGTGACACAGGACAAATGAATCCTCTCCTTAAGCCTCAGTTTCCCCAGGTATAAACAGCATTGACCAGAGATCGAGACCATTCTGGCCAACATGGTGAAACCCGGTCTCCAACACAATACAAATATACAAAATTAGCGGGGCGTGGTAAAAATACAAAATTAGCGGGGTGTGGTGGCAAGCACCTGTGGAGGCTGAGGCAGGATAATTGCTTGAACCTGGGAGGTGGAGGTTGCAGTGAGCCAAGACTGCGCCACTGCACTCCAGCCTGGCGACAGAGCAAGACTCTGTCTCTAAATAAATAAATAAACCAACCAACCAACCAACCAACCAACCAACCAACCAACAGGGTTGACAGAACATTATCAGCAGAAGCAGCAAGCAGCACTTAACTGTGTGCATTAATTCATCAATTCTCCACCTCTCTAGAGGAATGTTTAGGCCTAGGTGCTGAGCTCACCCAGTATCACACAGCATGAATCTGGGTGCCTGGCAGAGCCCCCCCACCATGTTTCAAGAACAGCTGTCATTATTATGATTATCATTATTATTTTGAGACAGAATTTCACTGTGTCACCCAGGCTGGAGTACAACCTCCGGCTCCCAGGTTGAAGTGCTTCTCCTGCCTCAGTCTCCCAAGTAGCTAGGAATCCAGGTGTGCGTCTCCGTGTCCAGCTAATTGTTGTAGTTTTAGTAGAGACAGGGTTTCACCATGTTGGCCAGGCCAGTCTTGAACTCCTGGCCTCAAGTGGTCTGCCTCTACCTCTCAAAGTACTGGAATTACGGGCGTGAGCCACCATGTCCAGGTAGCTGTCACTATTCTTATTTTGAGACACAGTCACTCTGTCACCCACGCTGGAGTACAGTGTTGCCATCTCAGCTCAGCTCACTGCAATCCCTACCTCCCGGATCCAAGCGATTCTCCTGCCTCAGCCTCCGGAGTAGCTGGGATTACAGGTGCATGCCACCACACCCAGATAATTTTTATATTTTTAGTAGAGACAGGGTTTCACTGTGTTGGCCAGGCTGGTCTTGAGCTCCTGAGTGATCTGACCTCAAGTGATCCACCTGTGTTAGCCTCCCAAAATTCTGAGATGACAGGCATGAGCAACTGCACCCGGCCCACCTGTCGTTATTATGAATCATTTGGGTAGCTTCTCCCAGGGACCTCAGGACAACCCGGCAGCTGACATTCTGCAGTGCTGGCAGCCCCTTTCCTGGCATGAGGACTCAGTACTTCCTCTGGGAAGCACCCACTTCCTCCCTCAAAGGCCACAGGCCTTGGGTGGGGCTCCCCTACCCCCAGCATCCATAGCTGGGCAGCCAGTGACACTGTGATTGGCTCAGCGATGGGCATATGACCCAGGCCAGCCAATGAGGGCCACCCCTGGGATTTTTACAGGTCCTCTTTGGACTAAGGAGTGCCCACTCCACTAAATTGGACATGGAAACGCCTGGGGCAGTGAGGTCACCTTTCTTTGCCTGCCTGAAAGGGAAGCCCCCCACGGTAAACAAAAAGAGAAAGACACCAAGTTACATACATGATATCTGAGCACTGAGGCCAGAGTGGTGGCTCACGCTTATAATCCCAGCACTCTGGGAGGCCAAGACAGGAGGATCACTTGAGCTCAGAAGTTTGAGACCAGCCTGCACAACATAACAAGACTTTGTCTCTACAAAAAGTAAAAAAAATTAGTGAGGGACAGTGGTGTGTGCTTGTGGTCCCAGCTACTCAGGAGGGAGGACTGCTTGAACCCAGGACGTCCAGGCTGCAGTGAGCCATGATTGCACTCCAGCCTGGGAAACAGAGCGAGACTCTATCTCCCTTTTTTTTTGTTTTTTAAGATGGAGTCTTGCTCTGTCGCCAGGCTAGAGTGCAGTGGCACAATCTCGGCTCACTGCAACCTCTGCCTCCTGAGTTCAAGTGATTCTCCTGCCTCCGCCTCCCGAGTAGCTGGGACCACAGACATGTACCACCACCCCTGGCTAATTTTTGTATTTTTTAGTAGAGATGGGGGGGTTTCACCATGTTGGCCAGGATGGTCTCGATCTCTTGACTTCGTCGTCCACCCACCTTGGCCTCCCAAAGTGCTGGGATTACAGGCGGACAACAATCACAACAACAAAACAACAAGATGTTCGTGCACCTGGATCCAGCCATGCCTAAAGCTGTCATTTCCTTTTCACTGCTTAAACTGCTCTGAGATTGATTCCTGCCTCGCAAACCAACAGCCTTGTGGAACTTTCCCCAAACACCTCCCGCTTTCTGGATACTGATAAAGTGGCAGGCACCTAATTTCTCTGTATGGTTGCTACAGCCCTAAGGGTGACTGCACGATTCTCCCTGTTTTGTTGATGACAAGACAGAGACTCTAAGAGTTGGAGTGATGTGTCTGGGGGAAGGCCAGGGCTGGCGCTGGACCTTGGCATTCTTTTTTTTTTTTTTTTTTTTTGAGACAGAGTCTCCTGTTGCCAGGCTGGAGTGCAGTGGTATAATCTCGGCTCACTGCAACCTCCGCCTCGCAGGCTCAAGCTAGTCTCCTGTCTCAGCCTCCTGAGTAGCTGAGATTACAGGCACGTACTACCACACCTGGCTGTTTTGCATTTTTCGTAGAGATGGGTTTTACCATGTGGGCCAGGCTGGTCTTGAACTCCTGAGCTCAAGCGATCTGCCCACCTTGCCCTCCCAAATTGCTGGGATTACAGGTGTGCATCACCATGCCCCGCCTGGACCCTGGCATTCTGAGGGTCCAGGCTGAGCCATGGGAATAAAGAGCCCCCCACTGTTTCCCTGCTTACCTGCTGTTCCATCACAGCTGCGCTCTGTGATGCTAATCTTCTTCACCACGTGGACGTTGCTGGTGGCCACAGTGGGCGCTGGGCACATCGTCTCCACCACCTCCTGGCTGCAGAACACAGGGGGGCTCTCGGGCCCACCAGGCATTGCCAGGGCCCTCAGCCCTGCCCCGTAAGGCTCCAGACTCTGGGCCCGCTGTGCAGGGGTGCCAGCGGCTGTGCTGGCCACCACCTCTACCTCCCGCGGCCCTTCCACCACCCGGACAGTGTCCACACGGACCGGGCTGTCCGGCGGTGGCCAGGCCTGGGGCTGGGGGTGGGCCTGCTGGACCAGAGCTGCCTGCAGCTCCTGCCGCGCCTTCTTGAGCTGGGTCTCCAGCACAGCGACCTTGGCGGCAAGGGCTGCCTCCCCATCAGGCATGCCCAAGTCCTGTTCTCGGACCCAGGTGCCCACACTCCGGGTCTCGGGTGCCACTGGGTCCTCTGGGGGATCGGGGAGGTCCAGGCAGAGCTCGCTGCGGCCCCGGCTCCCCGCGGGGTGGCCCAGGAACTTCTGGCTCTTGAGTTGCACTGTGAGCTGCCGCTTTTCCTCCTGGAGCACCGACAGCTTCACCTGGAGCACCGGGATCAGCTTCACCTGCTCCTCCAACTGTCGAAGCTTCCGCAGGGCTCCTGCCATCTGCTCCCGCACGTGGGCCAGGTGACTAGCGCTGGGAGGCACTGGCGTGGACAGTCCCGAACTCCGTGGTGTCGGGGGTGGCAACCCCACGCCCACCAGGGAGCCCGTCGAGCCAGCTGCACTGGGGGTCAGGGAGCCCAGGCCGGTGGGTGTGGCTGCCTGGTCCTCAAGACGGCGACGGGCATCCAGCAGTGTGCGCTCCACCCTCGGATTGAAGCCACCGCGGGTCTCCAGAGCACCATACTGAGGGTAGAAGCCGCGGCCACAGTAAGAGTAGGCTGAGTGCCGGCTGTCCCCACTGGCGTTGGAGCACAGTGACTCGGTGGACGTCCACCAGGAGCCGGGGCCGCGAGGCAAAGAGCCCAGGCGGGGGCGGCGCTGCACTGCCACACGACGCAGCGTGTGGCCCTTCTCAATGTCGTCCACGTACTTGAGGAAGTCCAGGTCCAGGCGGTAGCCATAGGGGGTCTCCACGGAGTAGGGTGGGTCGGGCTCCTTGGGAGGGAAGGCCGGTGGGGAGGCTGGGCCAGCGGTCCCTGGGGTGGGAGAAACAGCAGAACTGTTGAATCCTGCTGTCCCCATTCTTAGGGCAAAGACTGATGCCCGGGAGAGGTGGCGTTCATTCCCAAGAGATGGGAGCCCACCTGGCGCTCGACTGTGTCTGCTCTCAGCCTCCCTGGGCAGGGCTCTCCCTCCCCATCAGACTCTAGGTGCTAGGCCATCTCCTCTCCCAAAGGCCCCCAGGACAGGGCCCTATATCCCCGCTCAGACAACCTCCTTTTTTTGATAAGACTCTGCCACCCTCCTCAGACCCTCTCAGGGCAGGACTCTGCCTACTCCCTTAGACCTCTAATTGTTGGGCTGTGTGTCCCACCCTCAAAGCCCCCAAGGCAGGGTCCACTGTCCCTCAGGCTTCCAGGACTGAAGCTCCCCCGGGCAGGGCCCTCTTCCCCGAGTCCCCTGACCTGGGAAGGGGGCAGGCACGTGCAGGACCTGGGCCATCCTCTTGTCTGCAGATGCTCCTTGGAAGTCACTTGAGGGACTGTGAGTCAGACTGCCTGCAGCACTGGCTGAGGCTTACCTGGGGAAAGGGAACCCCAGTTAGGAGTCTGTAGGGGGAGGGGAGGAAATGAGGCCAGCCCCCTCCACAGCTGGGCCACCTGGCCCTCCACCCAGGTCTGGGACCCACTCAGAGGTGCAAACGCAGCCTGGCTGTGGAAGGAGGGGTGGGTTCCCCACCCCCTCCCCCCACTGCAGTTCTGGAACAAAGAAATCAAACTTCACTGCCTGCCTGCACATCTGTCCAGCCTCTGGACAGGCTCCAGCTGTTCCCACAGCCTGGCCTCCACATGGCCCTCGGGCTGGGGGGCCCCAAGCCTAATAGGCTCCACCCTTCCTGCACCCCCTCCCCTCAGCCCAGGCCCAGAGCTGGCCACAGGGAAAGATGGGGGTTGAGGCACTAAGGGGTGGGGGAAGAGGGGAACCTCCTCTTTTGGCAAGGATCTGAGGAGACAGACACAGGGGGACAAAGAGAGGCCAAGCATGGCAAAGGGGATACCCAGTGACCCCAAAGCTGAGAGCTTGGTCAGGCCTGGACTAGGGCAGCGGGGGCTGGGGAGGGAAAAGTTGGGGAGGCAGCTAGGAGTGAAGCCTTTCCCCTTTATGGAAACAATTTTCTCTAAAAATAAACAGTTTCACTGCCGGGCTACACAGAACTTCCTGCCCGCCTAGGATGCGTCTGGGCTTAGGGGCGCAGTAGGGATAGAGGGCCGGGCGGTGGCCCGGGGAAGTCGTGGGGGTGGAGGGGAGGAAGTAAGAGGGGGCGCCTGGAGGCTGCAAAAGGGAGGGACAATCAGAGCCTCTCACTAAACCCCCCTCAGCCCTGGAGGCTGGCCAGGGCTCTTTTGTCCCCAATATAACCAGCCTGAACTTGGCTGGTCCTTTCTGTTATCTGACCTCCAGCCACCATGCTGCAGAGGTCCCAGCCCATCCCACCACCAGAGTGGATCCTTTGTGGGTGCCAGGGCAGCAGGTACCTTGGGAGGATGGGCCAGGTAGGGCACCTGCTGGGCATGAAGGCAGGGCTGGGGCTCCGGGGGCAGCTGAGCTGGTCCTTGTTCTCCTGTCCCGTCTTGCCTTTTCTCTTTCCAAGTCTCTCTCTGTTTGTCTCCACGTCTCTGTCCTTCCGCGTCTCTCTCTCTCTCTCTCTCTCTGTCTCTGTCTCTCTCCCTGTCTTTCCTCTCCTCTGTCTTTCAACACCTGGAACACAGGTCACCAATTGCAGGAAATTCGTTTTTCCATTTGCCTGGAGGCTCGCCCCAGAGCAACAGGAAGTTGATCGAAAATATTTTCTGGCAACCAGAGAGAGATGGAGAAGCAGGGAGAGAGCGGATTAGAATAGCTGGGGGGAAGTGAGGGTGCTCCTGGGCAAATGGTATTAGTAACAGTAATAATAACATCAACTCTTTTTTTTTTTTTTGAGGTGGAGTCTCCCTCTGTCCCAGGCTGGAATGCAGTGGCGGGATCTCAGCTCACTGCAACCTCCGCCTCCTGGATTCTCCTACCTCAGCTTCCCAAATAACTGGGACTACAGGCACACCCCACTACACCCAGTTAATTTTTGTATTTTTAGTAGAGGCGGGGTTTCACCATGTTGGCCAGGATAGTCTCGATCTCGTCATGATCCACATGCCCTGGCCTCCCAAAGTGCTGGGATTACAGGCATGAGCCACCATGCCCGGCCTTACATCAACTCTTTTGTCATGGCAATTCCATGAGATGGGCAGTTATCCTCCCGTTTCACAGACAAGGCGATGCAGAGGGCACAGAAAGGTACAGTGACTTGCCTCGGGTCACTGGGGCCATGGGGAAGTGGCTGGGCCTGAAGGTGAACCTAAGCGTGGTGGATCCCCCCACTGCCCACCAAGTCACCACCCCCAGACCCCACACCAGATATCACTACCCATTTCCCAGATATGAAGACTGAGGTCTGGGGGTCCTCAGTCATCTGACCGCCCTCGATGAGGACCAGCGAGTCGCAGATAAGAAGAGAAAGGAGATAAGGGGGTGTGATGGGGAAGATGGATGTCTGTGACTGAGACCCTTCTCTCGCTATGGAACCCCTGGGGAGCGGGAGATTGGAAAAGACAGAGATGGAAAGACTGGAGACTACCAGAGGAGACATGTAGGGAGCTCAGGGAAGGGACGCAGATCTCCCCAACCCACCACCCCAGACCTGCCTGCACATCGCAGGGGTCTTCCCGGCTCTCTTCCCGCCCCAAACTTGGGGGAGTAAGAAGGACCCCGCCCCGTGCAGGGAGGGGGTGGGGCCTGTGGGATCCCCGGCTAATGGCAAACAGCTGCCGCTCCCCAAGCCGGCCCAGCCGCCAAGCCCAGGCCCAGCCGGCCGGACGCCCGGCGGTCTTCCCGCCGCCTGGGGCACGGCCGCGGAGGAGAGCGAGGGGGGACAGTGCGGGGAGGAGACAGAGGCAGAAAGGGGGACAGTCAGTGGAGAGCGGGGAGAGGGGAGCCACGACTGGGGAAACGGGCAGGGCAGCAAGAATCGATGCGGGTAAGGGGTCAAAGATGGGGAGCGGGCAGGGACGCGGGGACAGAGACACTCCAAGTCCGGAAAGTTTGGACACAGAAGGTGGAGTTGGAGGCAGCGGCTCGTTGAGACCAGCGAGGTCGTGTCTCAGGGTCGGAGGTGGGATGTAGGACAGCAGGTGGAGGGGGTGCACACTCGATCCCCAAACCGGACTTGAACCCCTACCCAGCCCCGGGTGCCACTCGCCTGGCGCGCTCCGGCCGCCGCCGTCCCTGCGTCCCGCCGCCCGTGCGTCCTCGCGCGCCGCCGCCCGGGCGCCCAGCCCTCAGGGGTGGCTCCGCCCCTCCCCGCCCCTCCAACTGGCCCCGCCCTCCAGCGGGCCCCGCCCCCTCCAGCCGCCCGGGCGCGGTGGGGGATGGGGGTGAAAAATGCGCTGGTTAGAGACTGGATCTCACCTGGACAGCAGGTGTGTGTGCGCGCCGGGGTGTCCGGCTTTGTCCTTCCTTCCTCCCTAAGTCCCTGAGGTAGGGTTCCCCCACCGCCAGCTGTCCCTGGGCCGCTGCGGGGGGCGGAACGGCTGGGCGGCGGGAGCGGGTGGGGCTGGCAGGGGCCCAGCTAGGGGAGGGCGCGCGGGGCGGGCGCGGCGGCGGGAGGTCACCCCTCCCCCGGGCGGCCCAGGACTGGAAGCGGCCCAGCGCAGCCTTGGCACACGGTGGCGTGACCGCCGCGCGAGAGGGGAGGCTGCACGAGCCCGGGCGCTGGAGCCGGCCAGACCTGGACTCTCATTCCAGACGCACCAAACTTTTGCTGCTCTGTGCCTTAGTTTACCCATCTGTAAAATGGAGATAATCATGTTAGCTACCTGATAGGAGTGTTGAGAAAATTCACTAACCATTAGGAAGGGGCCTCACCATTAGGAAGCAGGTCCCTCGGGTTAAAAAGGCTCCTGAATGAGTGGCCTACTTTTGCAGAGATCTTTCTGGGAGCCCTTTTGTACACAGCCAGCCACTCAGTAAGGGTTTAATAAATGTCAGGCTGACGAGGTGGCTCACACTTGTAATCTCTGTGTTTAAGGACACTGAGGCAGGAGGACTCCTTGAGCTCAGGAATTTGAGACCAGCCTGTGCAACAGAGCAAGACTCTGTCTCTTAAAAAAAAAAGTGGGCTGGGTGCAGTGGCTCATGCCTGTAATCCCAGGACTTTGGGAGGCTGAGGGAGGCAGATTAGGAGGTCAGGATATCGAGACAATCCTGGCCAACGTGGTGAAACCCCGTCTACTAAAAATACGAAAATAGTCAGGCTTGGTGGCACAAGCCTGTAGGGAGGCTGAGGCAAGAGAATCTCTTGAACCCAGGAGGCGGAGGTTGTTGCATTGAGCCGAGGTTGCACCACTGCACTCGAGCCTGGTGACAGATCGAGACTCCATCTCAAAAAAAAAAAAAAAAAAAAAAAAAAGCCAGGCATAGTGGCACGTGCCTATAATTCCTGCCACTTAGGAGGCTGGAGCCCCAGAGTTTGATGCTGCAGTGAGCCATGACTGTGACACTGCATTCCAACCTGGAGGACTGAGTGGAGACCCTGTCTCTTAAAAAAACCCAAAAACCAAAAACCCAGGCATTATTGCCATTAAGCATGTGACATTTGTGTCTGTTGTTATGATGTCCCTGGCACCCAGTAGGTTCTTGGCGTCTCCATTGATGATGCAGGATGTGTGGATATGGGGCAGTGTGGACTGTGACCACGTGACGAGCATGTGACCCAGCCCCTAGTTACCGCACCACACTGCACAGGTTGCTTATAAAAACCATTTTAAATTAAAAAAGGGAGGAGGAAGCATCAGTGCACACACAGATGGGGACACAGGGACAGAGGGCGCAGCCCCAAGTGCAATATGGTCACTCCATGGCCCAGTGGGCACCAGGGGGGACTCCTCCCAGCAGACAGCTGAGGCCTGGGTGCCTGTTCCTCTAGGTGCAGCTTTGGTCCCTGCGGGCTCAGAGGTCTGCCTTTCGGAAACTTGCTCTGTTCGAGGTCCTGGGAAAGGAATGAAGGTGTGTCAGCGTGGCCATGGGGCCCCAACTCCATAGACCGCCCCAGCCCAGATCTTCTTTGTTCTCCTCGTCCTCCTCGGAGGATCTTTCTGGCGTCTCTCCTGCCCCTGATCTGGCTATGGGATTCTCAGATTCTCTCTTGCAGTCCACCATGGAAGGTATGAATCCTCCCCATTTTACAGATGTAGAAACCGAGGCTCAGAAAGATGAATTCATATAGCAGGGAAATGACTGCTTAGAACCTGCCCTGCCTTTGTACACCTGGATGACACACTCAGATGCTGACGCAAAGCTGAAGCTACCGAAGCTGGGTGTGGTGGTGGCTCATACTGTAATCCCAGCACTTTGGAAGGCCAAGGCAGGTGGACCACCTGAGGTCAGGAGTTCGAGACCAGCCTGGCCAACATGCTGAAACCCTGTCTTTACTAAAAATACAACTAATGGCCGGGCGTGGTGGCTCATGCCTGTAATCCAAGCACTTTGGAGGCCAAGGTGGGCGGATCACCTGAGGTTGGGAGTTCAAGACCAGCCTTACCAACATAGTGAAACCCCATCTTTAAAAAATTAAAAAAAAAACAAAAAAAAAAACAAAAAAACAAATTAGCTGGGTGTGGTGGTAGACACCTGTAATCCCAGGTACTCAGGAGGCTGAGGCAGGGGAATTGCTGGAACCTGGGAGGTGGAGGTTGCAGTGAGCCAGGATCGTGCCACTGCACTCCAGCTTGGGCGACAGAGTGAGACATTGTCTCCAAAAAAAAAAAAAATCCAGAAACAAAACCAAATCCAAGCTACCATCGAACATGTTGCTGTGTACGTGTACGACAGCCCCCATCCTGTATCTGTCCCAGCCTGCCTCTGTGTCTCTCTCTCCAGTCTCTCGGATAGGGGAGGGGCAGCGGGGCAGGCACCTGAGGCCAGGTGGGGTGGGTGCCAGCAGCTGGGGCAGGCGCTGGGTGAGCAGGGGCTGCAGAGCCTCCCGCAGGCGGCTGTAGTGACGCTCCAGCTCGCGGTGGTACTCCTTCTGGTCCTGCCCAATCAGGGCCTTATTTTTCCGCAGTGCGTCCTCACATCTGAGGGCCAGAGGGCGAGAGATGCTCAGAGACTGGCACACTGGACTGGAAGCAGGACTAGGGGTGGGGGCATCTGTAAGGCGGGGCCCGACATGCAGAAAGACCTGCAGTAGGCAGTCAGGTAGGAAGAGCAGACTTAATGGGAATCAAGGAGTTGGGGGAGCCGTGCAGAGATCAGGTAGGCAGGGAGCTATGATACGGAGGTCAGGCAGGCACGAGGCCCCTCTTGGAGGGTTTTGTGCCTACTTCTTGCAGAAATCCTTGAAGCAGAGCCGCAATTTGTTGTGATGCCGGAAGAGCTTGGGGTCTTCTGGGATCTCTGTTAAAAACACCTGGGCCACCTCCAGGGGACCCTGTGGGGTGAGAGGGACTGGTGAGCCAGGCTGTATGGTGCCTGGAGTCCCCCGTGGGGCCTGCATCCCCCTTCCACCAGTCGTGCCTGGTTCACGGTGGGCCCCACAGATCCCTGAAGCACCATCTGCAGCATCTTAGCATCTGGTGGGTCCTGCTCGGTGGCAAAGGCCAGTTCCCGTGTCTTCTTCTGCATGTCCTCAATGGCCACCTCCACTGGCGTCAGCACTGTCTGCAGGGTGAGGGGAGGGGCATGCTCTTGCTGGGACTGAAGGTGTCCTGATCGAAGCCAGTTGGGGGCAGCTCACACCCCACTGGGAACAAAAGGGGGTCCTGGAACCCAGGCAATGAACAAAACCTGGGGGGCTTCCTGGGTCTGATTCTGGGGGTTCCAGCCTTGGGTCTGCTGGGTGTGTTGCCCTGGAGTGCAGGGGCTTGACATCTGGGGTCTCCAGACTTCCTTGGGTCTAGAGGTAGAGGTTTGCGCCTGGAAGTTGGAGTTTGGGGTCCCCAGCCTGGTTCTGGGGTACATGAGCCAATTTCTTGGTCTAGCGTATCTACATCTCTCCCCCCGGATCTGGGATTCCTGGAGTTCTCTTCCCTGGGCCTTCTTAGATTTGGGGTCCCTGTGCTTCCCCTATGTGGGTCTAGAATCCCTGGGTCTGGAGGTGGAGGTTTCAGTTTAGAGATTGGAATTCACGGTCCCCATATCTTCTCAGCCCAATGCTGGGGTACCTGGGCCACACCTCTCTTTGCTGGGCCTTCCTAGATCTGGGCTCCCTGTGCCTCCTCGTTCTGGGTCTGGGATCCCTGGGGCTACCCTGGGTTTGGGGTCCCTGCATCCTGCCTCCCAGGTCCCCCTGGCTCTGATGTCTCCTCCCCTCCCCTCCCTGTGAATCTAGTCTAGGGTCCCTGTGCCACCCCTCTCTGGGTCAGAGATCCGTGGGCCACCTTGGGTCTGGGTCCCTGTGTCTTCCCTCCCCCCATCTCCCCACCCTGGGCCCAGGGTCCCACCCACCTCCTCCCGGTGGCACACACGGATGCGAGTCTTGATGTAGGGGAAGGCGTGGTCGGTGCTGAGCAGCGTCTTACGCTTGTGCTGCTCCGGAAGCTCCCCGTGCGCGCGCCCGTCCGGTGTGAAGGGCGTGCAGAACAGGAAAGTGCGAAGCCCATAGTTGCGATCGAAGTAGGTCACCCTGTCTTTGAGCTCGTAGGTATCAAAGTACGGTTCCACGTACGTGATCTGGATGTAGGCCTGCGCGCAGGGTCGGGTGTGAGGGTCCCACGGCCGCAGCATGCACAGCCCAGACCCTGCTCCTGGAGAGGGGATCTGAGCATCCCTGCATCTGGGGACTTTGGGATTTCTAGGTTGTCTTATGTCTGGATGTTTGGGAATCCCCTGAGGAATAGGTTTTGGGGTCCCTCGTGAAATATGATTGGGGTTTCCCAGAGAAAGAGGATTTGAGGGTCCTTAGAAATAGTACTTGGAGTCTCTGTGAACGTAGGGTTTTGGGGAAACAGTCGGGGGACCCACCTTCTGTGAGTCCAGCTTGGACTTGTCCACAGGGTTAGAGTCTTTGATAATTTCAACCACGTCATCACCAAATCTCTCCGTGTAGAACTCCTGGGGACACAGGGCTGACTCGGGGCCACCCAGGGACAGCCCCTACTCCATCCCCAAGGTAGCCCCACACCCCATTCCACCCCCCACCATAAGGACGTGCCTCCAGCCGGTGTGAGATCTCTGCCAGCTTCGTGATCGATGGCTCCTTGTACACAAACTCCTGCTCATCCAGGTCGCCGAAGCGGGCACCATAGAAGCCCACGCGGAAATATGTCCCAAACACTCGCTGGGGCTGTGAGAAGGGGTGTGGTTGTCTGGGAGGCCCCTGCTGGAGGTCTCCCCGCCCCAGAGACAGGTCTCCTTGAGTGTCAGGATGGGAGTGTGAGGACCCTGAGACCACCAGGGCTTGGGCACAGGCAGGGGACCCTGAACACATTGGGGCATGGATTGCAAGATGAAATTAGGATTGGGGCTGTATTGCTCACAGGTGTGTCCAGGGTATACAAAAGGTGCCCAATAAATGCTTGGATGGCTGAGGGAAGGGATGGCTGTCTCCCACTCTGGACAGAGGCTCTGACTCCTTTGTTCCAGTGCATTCCCCTTCCCCTCCCCTGATTTGCCCACAAGAATGGGTATACAGTAGGTGCTCAATAAATGCTTGAATGGCTGTGGGAAGGGATGGCTATCTCTCACTCTGGGACCGAGGGTCTGACTCCTTTGTTCCAGCACATTCCCTTTCCCTGCCCTGATTTGCCCACAAAACTGGGTATACAATTGGTGCCCAATAAATGCTTGAATGGCTGAGGGAAGGGATGGCTGCTTCTCACTCTGGGACAGGGCTCTGGCTCCCTTGTTCCATGGCATTCCCCTCCTCCTGTCCCCAGCCCTAAGTTTGGAAGAAGGAACCCCCTCCCTCCCACCCCAAGAACACCGCCCCATGACTGGAAAGTTAGTGGGATGGCTGCACGTTCACTTACCAAGGCAGATCCGGGGAGGGTGGTGCAGACATGGTAGGGCCAGAGGTGTGGGGCACAGAGAGACAATGTCATGGGCGAGGTCAGAGGTCAGAGTGCCCTCAACCCCCAGGGTCCTGGTTAACACTGCCCCGTAAGAATCACTCCATGAGAGAGATCAGAGACTGGGGAGGGACAGGACCTGCCCGCCCCACCCGGCTCCCACCCAGCATGCCTGCCTGCACTCTGGGTTTCTGCCATCTTTGGCCAGAAAATTCTCCCCAAACTAGGAGATGCCTAAAAATAGACCTAAGCAGGCAAGAAGCAGGGTTGGGGTAGGGGTGGAGCGGGGGACACATTAACCAGAAATGGGGGAGGCTGGAAGCTGGGGAGGCAGGGAGGGACAGAGACCAAGAGACACAGAGATGGAGAGATAGCAAGATAGGGAAAGCCATGTGAGAGACCCAGAGAGATGAGAAAGAGATCATGAGGGAGTCACAGCCACCCCGCCCCCCCCCTGCAGTGACCAAGCTGGCCCTGGCAGAGGGAGGGGTGTCTCTGGAGAGCTCCCAGCTGACTGAGTCACAAGCTGCCCTCAAGATCTGGGGCGGGTTGGGGGGTGCATTTTTGGGGAAGGGAGGGAAGTGATGGGGTGGATGCGTCCTGGCCGCTAAGCCCCAGCCCCAGCAGCCAGCGGCCATGCTCCTCTGGCACCCCCTGGTGTTCACTGATGGCTGCTGGCCACTCCTCATGGGGGTCCCAGAAGCAGGTGGCTGTCCACCGAGGTTGACTCACCTCCCAGCCAGAACTCTGTGGGGGAGAGAAGGGCCAAGGTCAGCAGCCTTGGGGATGAGGAGTGGGGCTGAGGGTGGGGCCTGGAGGGCGGGCCTGGGTCCACCTGGTGCATGATCTTGGTGAAGGCCTCCTGCAGTTTGCCATGTACCACAGCCAGCCGCTTGTAGTCACGGTGGGCTTCCAGGATGGGGATAAGGTTCTTGTAGACCTCATTCACCGCCTCGTAGAGCCCGCCCTGAGGGTGAGGTGTGGTCAGGATTCCCCAAACTGTCTCCCCCTCTCCACCGTGCTCCTGTCTACCCATCTCCTCCGTGATCCTCTGTGCTCCTACCCACCCTCCATCACCTCCTCCAGGAAGCCCACCCTGACCACCCCCATCCCAGATGGTGGCTGAGCCTTCCCACTCAGCTCCTACAGAGGGCTCCAGGGTCTTCACCACTTCTGTTTTTTGGTTTTTTTTTGAGATAGGTTCTCACTCCATCACCCAGGCTGGAGTGTAGTGGTGTGCTACAATCATAGCTCATTGTAGCCTCCAACTCCTGGGCTCGAGAGATCTTTCCACCTTAGCCTCCTAAGTACCTGGAACTACAGGCAAATGCCACCATGCCCAGCTAAGTTTATTTTAGTTTTGATAGAGTCAGGTGGTCTGAACTCCTGGGCTCAAGTGATCCTCCTACCTTGGCCTCTCAATTAGCTGGGATTACAGCCTTTCACCACTTTTTCAGAGACAGGGGTTCCCCATATTGGTCAGGCTGGTCTTGAACTCCTGACCTTGTGATCTGCCAGCCTTGGCCTCCCAAAGTACTGGGATTACAGGCGTGAGCCACCGCACCCAGCCCCTTTGCACCTTCTAACAAGAATGTTCTATGGGACAGGTATGATGTACAGCTGCCCTTCACCCTCTATGTTCCCTCGTCGATGGGAGAAGCAGAGTGTTTTTTCCCCTACTCCCCAAAGGAGAAACTGAGTCTCAGACATATGGAGGCGTTCCTCAGGGCCAAGACCCAAACACTAGCCCATCTGGCCCTGGGCCCATGACCGCTATGCCCAACTACCTCTTGGCATGTGGTACTATGCCCCTAACCCCCAGAGGGTGCTGGCATCAAGCCTGGCTCAAAACAGGCACCCTGTGAGATTTGCTGACTGTCAGAAGGTCTGTGTCCACTCCCTGGCTTCTTCCCTGAGGCCTTTGTGTGAGCATGGCTTTTAAATTTTTATTTATTTATTTATTTATTTTTATTTTTAATTTTAATTTATTTTTTTTAAGAGACAGGGTTTCATCATGTTGGTAAGGCTGCTCTCGAACTCCCGACCTCAGGTGATCTGCCTGCCTCAGCCTCCCAAAGTGCTGGGATTAGAGGCGTGAGCCACTGAGCCTGGCTTTTTTTTTTTTTTTTTTTTTTGAGATGGAGTCTCATCTGTTGCCCAGGCTGGAGCGTAGTGGCACGATCTTGGCTCACTGTAACTTCTGCCTCCCAGGTTCAAGCAATTATTCTGCCTCAGCCTCCCGAGTAGCTGAGACTACAGGTGCCTGCCACCATACCAGGCTAATTTTTGTATTTTTAGTAGAGATGGGGTTTCACTATGTTGGCCAGGCTGGTCTCAAACTCCTGACCTTGTGATCTGCCTGCCTTGGCCTCCCAAAGTGCTGGGATTACAGTCATGAGCCACTGCACCCATGCCCAGCTACTTTTTTTTCCTCCCCCAACACCCTCCATTTATATATTTTTTTTCTTTTTAGTAGTGGCAGGGTTTCTCCACGTTGCCCAGGCTGCTCTTGAACTCCCGACCCCTGAAGCCTTTGTCTCCAAGAATCTAGCAAAGTGACAGTAATGAATACAATGTCACTAAAGGGCCAGCACCACGGAAGAAATCTCAGTGGAACACCTGACTTCAAGTGTGACCTCGATTCTCACTGAAATGAAATCTCGCTCAGGTGAAACTGTCAGTTCCCCAGAAATGCGAGGAACCGAGAAGCAGTAGCGACATCACAGGGAAGCAGCCAGCCTCGCACAAACCGGAGAAACACACGGCGCAAAGGCCCCAGGGCTCCTGCAAGTCAGATGCAGGGCAGAAGCCACCAACTGCCCTCATACGAACAGGCAAACTAGAGAAGAAAACCCACCTTTTTTTATTTGAGACGGAGTTTCGCTGTCATTACCCAGGCTGGAGTGCAATGGCGCGATCTCGGCTCACCGCAACCTCCGCCTTCTGGGTTCAAGCAATTCTCCTGCCTCAGCCTCCCAAGTAGCTGGGACTACAGGCGCGCACCACCATGCCCAGCTAATTTTTGTATTTTTAGTAGAGACGGGGTTTCACCTTGAAACCCCAGGATGGTCTCATTGACCAGGATGGTCTTGATCTCTTGACCTCGTGATCCACCCGCCTCAGCCTCCCAAAGTGCTGGGATTATAGGCGTGAGCCACCACGCCCGGCCGAAAACCTGTTTACAACAGTGGAAAATCAGTTGCTGGGCACACTGGCTCACACCTGTAATCCCAGCACTTCGGGAGGCTGAGGTGAGAGGATTGCATAAGTCCAGGTGTTTGAGTACAGCCTGGACAACATAGCAAGACCCCATCTCTCAGAAAAAAAACAAAAAAACAAAAAAACCCAAATAATTAACAAAGAAAAAAAAATTAGCTGGGTATGTCAGTGCACACCTATAATCCTAGCTACTCAGGAGGTTGAGGTGGGAGGATCACCTGAACCCAGGAGGTCAAGGCTGCAGTGAGCCGTGATTGAGCCACTGCACTCCAACCTTGGGCAAGAAAGCAAGACCCTGTCTCTAAAAACAGAAAGAAAAAGAAACTTAGGACACAGATCATCCACAGTCATTGTGGGCCCTTATGGGATCCTGATTCTAACCAAGTTATCCCCAAAAAGATACACTGGACAAGATCAGGACATCTGAGTCTAGACTGCCACGAAATGACGTTAACGATGTTACAGGATGACCATGAACTTGGCTGCGATAGGAGTTTTGTAAAAGGGTCTTTATCAGAAAGCGCTGCACGGGGGCACTTGTGGGAGTGATGGGAAAACTGCTGGGATTTGCTAGGTTTTTTTTTTTTTTGAGACAGAGTCTTGCTCTATCCCTCAGGCTGGAGTGCAGTGGCACAATCTCGACTCACTGCAACCTCTGCCTCCCGGGTTCAAGCGATTCTCCTGCCTCAGCCTCCTGAGTAGCTGGGATTACAGGCATGCACCACCACGCCCGGCTAATTTTTGTATTTTCAGTAGACACGGGGTTTCATCATGTTGGCCGGGATGGTCTTGAACTCCTGACCTCAGGTGATCTGCCCGCCTGTGCCTCCCAAAGTGCTGGGATTACAGGAGTGAGCCATTATGCTCAGCCTGGGATTTGCTTTAAGCTGGAGCTTCTCTAAGTTGAAGATGCATGTGAATATCCAAATTCTTTAGTTTTTGCCACGAGGTCTCACTCTTTCACAAAGGGTTGGAGTACAGTGGCACGATTACAATTCACTGCAGCTCAACCTCCTGGGCTCCAATGATCCTTCTGCCTCAGGCTTCCTGAGTAGCTGGGACTACAGGTACGTGCCACCAACCCAGCGAATTTCTTGTAGTTTTTGTAGAGACAGTGTTTTGCCATCTAGCCTAGGCTGGTCTCAAACTCCTGGCCTCAAGCAGTCCTCCCGCTTCAGCCTCCCAAAGTGCTGTGATTACAGGCATGAGCCACTGCACCCGACCCATTTTTATTTTAGTATAGAAAGTTTCAAGCATTGCTGGGTGTCCCAGCTACTTGGGAGGCTTAGGCGGGAGGATTGAGTGAGGCCAGGAGTTTGAGACCAGCCTGGGCAACATAATAAGACTCTCTCTATATAAAAGATTTAAACATTGGCAGCGTGTGGTGGCACATGCCTGTAATCCATCGCTTTGGGAGGTTGAGGCAGGGAAACCGTTTGAGCTCAGAAGTTCCAGACCAGCCTGGGAAATATGGCAAAACCGCATCTCTACAAAAAAATATAAAAAATTAGCTAGGCGTGGTGATGTGTGCCTGTAGTCCCAGCTACTCAGGAGGCCAGGGTAGGAGAATCACCTGAGTCCTGGAGACCAAGGTTGCAGTGAGTCATGATCACACCACTGCACTCTAGCCTGGGTGACAGAGTGGAGGCCCCATCTCATAAAATATCACAAAGAAAAAAGTATATACTAATTTAAAAATTGGCCGGGCATGGTGGCACATGCCTGTAGTCCCAGCTACTTGGGAGGCTGAGGCAGGAGGAATGCTTTAGCCTGGAGTTCAAGGCCGCAGTGAGCTACCATTGCCCCACCAGGTTGTACGCCAACCTGGGCAAAAGAGTGAGACTGTAAATAAAAAAGAGAAAGGAAAACTGAAAGTATGTGCAGTGCATGGAAGGCTTGCTGTAGCAGGGTTAGGCTTAGGGTTAGGGTTAGGGTTGCTGCCTGTGCCTGCATCAGGGTCTCATGGAGGCAAAGGCAGATAACAGGGCCTCTGAGAATCCAGTTCTTTTTTTTTGTTGTTGTTGATACAAAGTCTCACTCTGTCACCCAGGCTGGAGTGCAGTGTGTGATCCCGGGTCACCACGACCTCTGCCTTCCGAGGTCAAGCGATTTTCCTGCCTCAGCCTCCCGAGTAGCAGGGATGACAGGCACCTGCCACCATGCCTAGCTGATTTTGTATTTTTAGTAGAGACAGGGTTTCGCCATGTTGGCCAGGCTGCTCTCAAACTCCTGACCTCGTGATCCACCTGCCCCAGCCTTACCAAAGTGCTCAGCTTACAGGTGTGAGCCACAGTGCCCAGCCAATTCTCCTTCTTTCTAAGTCCCCTGCTGGAAGAGTCTAGGAAGCAGATCCGACGATGCCTCCCTGGCCTGAGCCCCCTCTCCTACCCCCAGGCCCCTCTCCTGCCCTGAGTCCCCACAGTCTCACCATGGTGAAGTAGGCAGCTGCCTCTTCCAGCAACCCGACCAGCCCCAGCTCAGTGAAGTGCTTGCCAGAGCAGAAGCCCTCCTCATCGGGCGACAGGATGTCGTCGGAGATGGCAGACTCCTCTAGCACGTTGGAGGAGATGTTCTGGTGCGGGAGAGGTGGCATCAGATCATGGTCTCCACTGCACATGTGCTGCCTGCCACCCCCCCACTCCCTCACCGCTCACCTGGAAGGAAACGCAGCCCACGGGCAGGTGGCGGCGGTCCTCGAGCAGGGCAAGGTACTCGGCCACGAGGGCGGCAGCGTGTACCATGCACTGGGCGGCCTCAGCGTGGTTGCCCAGTTCCGCGTGCTTCCCGGCCATGCTCTTTAGCCAGGTCAGCCGCAGGTCTGGCGAGCCCTGGTAGCCCCGGGCAATTCTGGAGTCGAGGTGAGGTGAGGGGGGATGTGAGGAGGGGACCTGCTTCCCAATTGTCCATCCCCTTCACTGGTTACCCCCAGGTCTGCCCCAAGCACCAGCCAATCTCCTCACCTGTACCCCATCCCCTCACTCACTCCCTCACCTGTCTGCCCACCTGTCTTCCCTTCACCTGTTTTCTCACATGCTGGCCAGTCATCTCTTAACGTGCCTGCCTTACATATTCCTCCAAGTCATATTCCTCCTCATTTGTCCTGCTGTCTCCCACTGACGAGCCAGTCTCCTCACCTGTACCCTACCGACCTGTCTATCCCCTCACCTGTCCACCCCCTCACCTGCCCACTCACTCACCTTTGTACCCCGTCACCCGTCCACCCCCTCTCCTGTCCACCCCCTCACCGGTCCACTCACTCACCTTTGTACCCCCTCACCCGTCCACCCCCTCTCCTGTCCACCCCCTCACCTGTCCACTCACTCACCTTTGTACCCCTTCACCCATCCACCCCCTCACCTGTCCACTCACTTTTGTACCCCCTCACCTGTCCACCCCCTCACCTGTCTACCCCTCACCTGTCCACCCCCTCACCTGTCCACCCCCTCACCTGTCCACCCCCTCACCTGTCTACCCCTCACCTGTCCACCCCCTCACCTGTCTACCCCTCACCTGTCCACCCCAACTGTCCAACCCCTCACCTGTCCACCCCCTCACCTGTCCATCCCACCTGTCTATCCCCTCACCTATCTACCCCCTCACCTGCCCACTCACTCACCTTTGTACCCGCTCACCTGTCCATCCCTTCACCTGTCTATCCCACCTGTCTATCCCCTCACCTATCCACCCCCTCACCTGCTCACTCATTCACCTTTGTACCCCCTCACCTGTCTACCCCCTCACTTGTCTACCCCCTCACATGTTCACCCCCTCACCTGTTCACCCCCTCACCTGTCCACCCCCTCACCTGTCTGTCCCTCACCTGTCCACCCCCTCACCTGTCTGTCCCTCACCTCTGTCCCTCACCTGTCCACCCCCTCACCTGTCTACCCCCTCACCTGTCCACCCCCTCACCTGTCTGTCCCCTCACCTCTGTCCACTCACCTATCTACCTCTCACCTGTCCACCCCTTACCTGTCTATTCCCTCATCTGTCTACCCCCTCACCTGTCCACCATCTCACCTGTCCACCCTCTTGCGTGTCTATCCCCTCACCTGTCTACCCCTCACCTGTCTACCCTTTCACCTGTCTGTCCCCTCATCTGTTCAACCCCTCACTTTCTTCACCTGTCTACTCTCTCACCTGTTCATCTCACCTGGCCATCCCTTTAACTGTCTCCTTACCTGTCCACCTCCTCACCTGTTCATCTCAGCTGGCCATCTCTTCACCAGACCATCCCTTCACCTGTGTCCTCACCTGTCCACGCCCTGACTTCCCTACCCCCTGACCTGTCCATCCCCTCATCTGTCTGTCCTGTCACCTGTGTCATCATATGTCTCCTTTCTAAATCCCCCGCTGGAAGGGTATAGGACAGACAGATGAGGGGGTGGACAGGTGAGGGGTAGACACTCCCTCACTTGTGTCCTCACCTGTCCATTTCTTCACCCGCTCACGTGCCTGTTTCCCACTAACCCGTCCATCCTACTCAACTGTCCTCACCTCTGCAGCACCTCCCACTTCCTCTATTCCCCCATCTCCTCACTTATCCTGGAAACCTGAGTCACCTGAACTCATGATTTTCCCCTTGCTTGTGCACCATCTCACCTGCTACCCACCTCTCCCTCCAATACGCCCCACCTCCCCCATCCCCATCATGCGTCCGTCCGCTCCTACACTCCTCAACGGGTCTAGTCTCTAGATCTCGTATCCGTTTACCTGTGGGCAGCTCACCTGTCCCCTCACCTGACCTGGCTCTCATCTGGCATCCTCTTTACCTGTTTACTCACCTGTTCTCTCCTTACTTGTACCCTCATGTCTGCTCACCTGTCCCCCTCCCCTGCTCCCTCCTCACCTCCTCAGACATCTCCTCTCATCCCTGTTCTCTCTGTACCTGATGGGGTGCGGGCTGTTCCGCCTCACCTGTACATGAGGTCGATGAGCATCTCAGGGTCCTCCTGGTGCTCCTTCATCTTCACCGTGTCCGTCAGGATCATGTGCAGGTTGAACATCAGGTCCTGGACCTGGAGCCGGGGAATGTGCAGGGGCCAGTGAGAGCGATAGGAAGTGAAGGGAGCCAAGGTGGTGGGATCGGGCGTTACGTGAAGGGGAGGCGGGGAGGGGGCCCAGCAGGTGTCACCTGCTCCGCAAAGGTGCTGTCCCGCAGCCCCACGTCCTCCTCAGCATAGGTGAGGATGGTTTTGAGTGAACGTCGCAGGTGCTCTTCACTGAAGTTCTGCGTTGTTCCCACCAGGGATGAAAGTGACATGGTCACCTGCATCTTCACGCGGGCAAAGTTCTGCAGGGACAGGGGAGGGCGAGTGGAGCTGGCAGTCTTAGACTCCAGACCCCACCTCAGGGCCTGCTCAACCTGCCCACCTGGCCCTTGCATTCTTTTTTTTTTTTTTTATTGAGACAGAGTTTCACTCTCATTGCCCAGGCTGGAGTGCAATGGCACAATCTCAGCTCACTACAACCTTTGCCTCCTGGGTTCAAGTGATTCTCCTGCATCAGCCTTCCTAGTAGCTGGGATTACAGGCACCCGCCACCATGCCCAGATAATTTTTTGTGTTTAGTAGACACATGGTTTTACTATGTTGGCCAGGATGGTCTCGAATTCCTGATCTCAGGTGGTCCACCCGCCTCAGCCTCCAAAACCAAAGTGCTGGGATTACAGGCGTGAGCCTCCATGCGCAGCTCTTCCGTTTTTTTTTTTTTTTCCGAGATGGAGTCTCACTCTATTGCCCAGGCTGGAGTGCAGTGCACTCACTGCAACCTCCGTCACCCGAGTTCAGGCAATTCTCCTGCCTCAGCCTCCTGAGTAGCTTGGATTGTAGGTGCATGCCACCACGGCTAGCTAATTTTTGTATTTTTGGTAGAGACAGGGTTTCACTGTGTGGGCCAGGCTGGTCTTGAACTCCTGACCTCAAATGACCCTCCTGCCTCGGCCTCCCAAAGTGCTAGGATTACAGGCGTAAGCCACCATGCCCAGCCTACCTTTTGTTTTTGTTGCTCAGGCTGGAGTGCAGTGGTGCAATCATGGCCCACTGCAGCCTCAAACTCCTGGTCTCAAGTGATCCTCCCACTTCAGCCTCCCAAAATGCTGGGATTACAGGAATGAGCCAGGGCACCTGACCCCAATTTCATTCTGAGCCTTCCTCTTGCCCTTTATGCTTAGGGACTGCCTCCCCATCTCTCACTCCCTCTATGGCCCCGAGACCCCACTGGCCACCCTGACCAGAACCCTGTGTGGACCACGCCTCCTTGCCCCACTCACGTGGCCGATCTCGAAGTTCTGTCGCATGAGCAGGTACAGCGAGGCGCTGGCGTGTGTGCGGATGGTGCTGATGCGGCTGCCACAGTGTCGCAGGAGCCTCAGGCACAGGTCGGCACACAGCTCCGTGTCCTCCTCGAACAGCAGCTCCGGGAACTGCCCCCCAGGACCCAGACAGACACTGTCCAGCCCCTCCCCATTCTGGCTCACAATGGGAGTGGCCCAAATGAGGACTGCTTGGGCAGAGACATCTGTTTGTGTTCTGTCCTCTTTGGCCAAGGGCCACTGGGTTTGGAGTCAGACCTGGGTTTAAGCGCCTTGCTGTGTGACCCTGGGTGAGTGCCTTGGCCACTCTGATCCTGCCTGCCTTCCACTGTAAACTGTGGCAAAGCAGTCTGCTCAGTGGAGTTGCAAAGCACATAGTAAGCACTTACACTTAGTGATTGAGGTACTCTTTTTTTTTTTTTTTTTTTTTTTGAGACAGGGTCTCACTCTGCAGCCCAGGCTGAAAATGTAGTCGTGTGATCACAGCTCACTGTAGCTTTGAACTCCCAGGCTCAAACCATCCTCCTGCCCCAGCTGCCTCAGCCCCCCTAGTAGCTCCTTAGTAGCTGGGATCTCAGGTGTGTGCCACCCAGTCTGGCTAACATTTTTTTTTGAGACAAGTCTCATGCTGTTGCCCAGGCTGTAGTGCAGTGGCATGATCATGGCTCACTGCAGCCTTGACCTTCTGGGCTCAAGTGATCATCAGCCTTCCTAGCAGCTAGGACCACAGGTGAATGTCACCACACTTGGTTGATTTTTTTGTAGAGATGGGGTCTCACCATGTTGCCCAGGTTGGTCTCCAACCCTGGGCTTACATGATCTTCCCAACTCAGCCTCCCAAAGTGCTGGGATTACAGGTGTGAGCCACCATGCCTAGTCCCAGGTAATTTTTTAAATTTTTGGTAGAGATAGGGGCTTTGCTGTGTTGCCCAGGCTGGTCTCAAACTCCTGGCCTCAAGCAAGCCTCCCACTTTGCCCTCCCAAAGTGCTGGGATATAGGTGTGAGTCACCGCACCAGCCTAGAGCTTCTGTTGCTTTCTAAGAATCATGGTTGTTGAGTGGTGCTCACCTTGGACACAAGGGCCCGCTGGGTGGCCAGGCCATGCTGCAAGAAGAG